GAACCTATTGCTCTGCATTTAATTTAACTAAATGAATTCTCTCCCATTCAAATGTTGACAACTTAAATACTTTTGTTCAACTAATGAGTAATTAAAATTAAGCCAGTAAATAATAGTGGCCACATAGTTGGCCCCAAGCTGCAGTGCATCCTGGGAATGTGTACAACATTGTTCAACATAAAATTGTTTGTTCAGATGATTTCATTCGGAAAGTTGGGACAATTTTTGGACAAGTTTCAGACAAATACTTGAGTATCTAAAGTCAACAAAATAACTTTTGTTAGTAACATGTTTAGAGTTTTCTTGTTCAGTTCACATAAAATAATACATTGAAAAATCTTTGTTTTAAATTTGATATAAGAGCATTATAAACAGTTTTGCAAGTTGCTTTTTTTTTGTATCTGTATCTAAGGTTTTAAAATGAATTAGTTGATTTGCAATTTCAAATCTTTTTTAAACATATTAAAAAATGCAAATACAGAAAAATATTGAGAACCGACCCAAGTAGCTGGAGTTTAAAGTTAAAGTAAAATCGATATTGACCCTATTATAATTCATATTCATGTCTTATTGTGCTTCTTTGTTACTTTGACTTTCACATAAACACTGTTAAATATACTGTATGCACATAATTCCTTTGAAATTGAATAAATAAAACAAAGATTATTAAAGAGTAGGTTTTACAGGAAAATACTATTGCTGTCACGAATCCGGTCCATGAACTTTCCTTTTCATTGACTCTCGCACCACACAAACTGTTGCATAGCACCCCGGACTACATTTCCCATCATGCATTACTGATTGCACTCAGCACGAATTGCACACACCTGTTTACACTGATTGCACCCAGCTGTTTCATATCACTCCCTCACTATATAACACTCACTCTTATCCCTTCCCTCTGCCGAGTATTGTTCCGCATTTATCACTCCCCTAGAGATAGCGACTCTACAGAGCCCTCGTTTGTTGCCTTAGCTTTAGCCTTAGCCCTAGTCATTTGCCTTAGCCTTAGCCTTAGCCTTCTCGGTTTCTGATCTTCGCCTGGTTCCCTGGATTCACCCCTTTTGTCTTGCCCCTTTTGATTCTGTCTGCCGATCGTCGACCTGCTCTAGCCCTAGGACTATTCTTGTGTTTTGCCCACCATATACCTGTTTGCCCTCATCTGACCCATGCCTGTTTCATGACCACGTCTCTGTCTTCGTTTCAATAAAGCTTGCATATGGATCCGCACGTCTCACGTCTCGTCAGCCCCGTAACAATTGCTTACACAATTTCATGTTTAATTCACTTATTTACTAGCAATTTTGTAGTGAAATTTTTCCAGTGCAGTGCCAATTATAATATATTTTGCCGCAGTAAAGAAAATTGCAGTCAAATAGCTTGTTATTTTGTACTGTTCAGGATTAAATCGGTATTATTCTGCTATGTGAAAATGACCTGACTGCATAAATTGCGACAGATTCATTGTGTGCTTATTGTTTAGACGTGTTTTCTCCGACACTAAATACTACTTTACGCAAAAGCTTTTATAATCCTGAAGGACTCATATGTTTGTTCAGGGTTTTACTGGTTCGGTGTGTCTAGTCAGTATTTAGGTTGTGGGAACATTGCTTCAGGGTGACAGTATAGCTTTCCATCATTATGTTCTCATACAGATCTCTCTCACACACCGCATCTCATTCATATGATCTACTGTACATAGACCGGAGATGTGCATTAATAAAAAATCACACATTCAACTAGTCTTTGCTGACAGCATGAACATGGAAAGGACAAGTCCACTAGAGTAAACCACTCAATTATCAGAAAGATTTAGCTTTTCTCTATGCTCTGTGAAGTCTTACTGAAATCTCACGGCCTCCTCGTGTGTTTGAAGGTTTTGAAGGTCACGGTGAACTTGAGTAAGTTTCTCAGTGTCTTCACATGAGTTATATAACAGTGTCACATGTACAGATATCTACACATTCCACTCCAGAATCCTGTGGCTGACCGTGTTGACTTATATCAGACACTTTCTGTCCCTTAAACGTGGTCGTAATTGTGTTAATGAAGCTGTTTTCACAGAACTGACAGGGTTCATTTTTATACTGTAGGTCTAGTGAAGTGTTAAAGTGTGAAAACCCTGGTTAGAGAAGCTTCTTGAATCACGACGAATAGATATTCAGCTGAGAACCATCAGTTACAGAATGTCTGTCAATTCTGTATTTTTTGTAATCTTTATTATTGGACAGAATTTATGTTCTGTATTTTACACACAAAAAATGTCAATAAATAATGATAGTAGCATCATTCCATGTCAAATCAACCACATTTCAGAAACTTCCCTGCATGGCTTAAATTTTTCTGTGGAAAGATTAACATGTATAGTGATGAAAGCCCATAATATTAAATGTCACAGATGCACATTTACTGAATAATCCACTATTTTGTAGAGGGTGTGACAATTTTCACCTGAGATTTTGTGCCAAATTACAGGAGGGTAAATGACTTTAGAAAGATGGCAGCATCATTATATGATTTTTACACAGAGATTGGTAGGTCTGTTAGTAAAATCTGTTGACTTTAGCAATCTTTGTTGCATTATGTGCCAATGGTGACCATTCAGATTATGGGGGAAAAGCACTCTTTAAGTTTTTTTCTCCACAGTTTGCATGACTGTAACTCATTAAGATATCTTAATATCCTTTTAGATTTTGGGTCTTAACAAACTTATTTGACATCTTCATTTTTAAGGCCCTGTATGTTTCAGTCCCAGAGATATTGGGATCTAAATAAGGCTTCAAGACTAAATTGATAAATTGTACAAATTTTCAGTGGTCAAAAACCAAATGCGGGTCACTTTGCATATAGACGATTCTTCTTTTATTTTAAAGAGGCATGTCTGAAGAACAAATAATATTGAAATTAGAAATGTATCAAATTTATAAAAACTATTACATACCTGTCCGAGTGCCATAGATATTCATTATTCATTTCAGTTTGCAAGCCTCTACCTCAAAAAGTATTCAATATATTCATTTAAAATTCTGATTCTTAAACTGTATTTAAAGAGGAAAATCTGAGGAAAAAATTACGTTGAAACTAAAATTTTAGCTTTTTCCTTTTATCGAGACAATTGCATTGAACAAACACGTCTGTGTACAATTTATTAATAATATGTAATACTTCAACCAGAGACTAGTAATATTTTTCTTAATTTGACTTTCTTTCAATGACTTCTTATTTATTTATTTATTTTGTTTTTACTAAATTTATAGCAGTTTCTACTAAATTGTAGCTATGATTATGCTGGGTTAAATATAACCGAGCACTGGGTTAAAAAGGGACAAACCCAGCTATTGGGTTGTTTTGACCCAACCGCTGGGTCAAAACAACACAACCTCTGGGTCAAAACAACCCAACCGCTGGGTCACCCTGTAATACAGATTCACTTTCCTGGGAATGCTCGTCTTTCCCAGAACCTCCTCTTTTTCTAATAAAGCTTCCTCTTTCCTTTTCTTACTCTTTTGTGTGGCTTTTTTTCGTATTATTCTCCTACTCCTGGTTATTATCCATATGCTGTGTTTGTTATTTTGCTCTTCTTCTGTTGTTTTTGGGAACACCTTAATCTTATGACTTATTTACTTAATTATGAAATTCTTTTTGTGTGCCAAATGAATAGTTTGCAAAAAAAAATAAAAAAATATTATTATTGTGCAGGATATTCACTTCATCTCTACTTTACTATGAAAACTGAAATCTAATGCTCTGGCATCATAATCAACAATAAACACAATAAACAATACATTTTTAATATATTTTATTGGTAACACTTTACAATAAGGTCTCATTTTTTAACAGTATGCATTAACTAACATGAACTAACAATGAACAATATATATTTTTTACAGCATTTATTAACCGTTGATGGTTAAAAATGTTCATGATCTTGCAGTGCATTAACTAATGACACCTTATTGTAAAGTGATACCCTTTTATTATGCACCAAAATGTCACTGTTTAGAAAAAAATATATATAATAAGAGAGATACAGTATTCTGATGACCAAATTAATTTAAAATATTAGGAAAAATTCAAATTTTAATATTCCTTATTTTAATTTTTTTTATTAAATATAAATTAATTATAGATTAAAAGGTCAGTGTGGAGAACGAGTCCAAAAAATAGATACATTCTGGTGATCAAATTAATTAAAAATATTAAGGAAAAGTGCAAAGCAGAATACTTTCTCTTATACTTATAGCAGAATACTTAGCACTTCAAAAGCTGATTTATATATATATATATCATTAAAAGGTCAGTGTGGAGAACAAGCCCAAACAATAAAGAAATTTCTGGTGACCAAATTATTTTAAAATATAAGAAAAATGTGCAAAGCAGAAAATTCCTGATTTTATTATTTTTATAATATATATTTATTATAGATTAAAAGGTCAATGTTGAGAATATGTCACAAAAATAAAGATTTCTGGTGAACAAATTAATTTTAAATAAAAAGGGAAAACTGCAAGATAGAAAATGCATTTTTTTTAAATAATTTTTTGTACTTTTATAATGCATATTTATTATGGATTAAAAGGTCAAATATTAGAAAAAAGTACAAAGCAGATTTTTTTTTCGAATATATTATTATATTATATATAATATATTAGAATATTATATTATATTACAATGTTTTAATACTTTTTAACATATTTTTATTATAGATTAAAAGGTCAGTGTATAGAACAAGCCCAAACACAGAGGAAGTTTTGCAGATATCACCTTTTAACACTTTTTAAAATCAGGAAAGTTACACTAAATTATAAAATATTAAATTATTATCAGTCCTTTAAAATAGAATAATGTTAAAAAAAAAAAAAATCCCCTAAAATGATTTAACAGTCAAGTAAATAAAATAGGAGTGTTGTAGTGTCGCCGGGTGTCCAGCAGCGGTCGCTGTGTCCTCACTGGATCTCTGCTGTCCAGCGCCGCAGCCGGACATTGATGTGGTGCTCTGAAGCAACTGGTGCTTAAGACGCATTTGCATCGACAACAGCAAACAACGAGTAATATCGCGGTTTCTCGAGGATTAACGCGCGTTTAAACGCGTCTTTCGGACGTTTCCAGTGGAACTGAGCAATATTATAGAAGTTTTCGTGAGGAGGAAGGTCAGTGTTTATATCCCGCTCGTTTATTCTCTCATTAAAGTCTCTGTGGAGATATTGACACGCGTCTGAGAAGAGACTTTTACTGTAGCGTGACACTTAAATGTTTTGTTTTAGGGACACACGATACATTGTATCTTCATTGAGTTTGTGTATCATCGCGTTTGTGTCATTGTGTCTGTGTGTTACTGTATCATTGTGTCATTGTGTTTGTGCGTCGTAAACAATCAAACCAATTACATTTACCGCGTTTTCTCTGCAGACTTCTGAGGGACAGAGTGGTTTTGGTGTTTTCTGTGATACATAGGTGAGATTCAGCATGTATGTTACATGGTCATGTTTAACATGTTGTGTGTGTCTGTCTGTCTGTCTCTGTGTGTGTGTGTGTGTGTGTGCGTGTGTGTGTGTGTGTGTGTGCGTGTGTGTGTGTGTGTGTGTGCGTGTGTGTGTGTGTGTGTGTGCGTGTGTGTGTGTGTGTGTGTGCGTGTGTGTGTGTGTGTGTGTGCGTGTGTGTGTGTGTGTGTGTGCGTGTGTGTGTGTGTGTGTGTGCGTGTGTGTGTGTGTGTGTGTGCGTGTGTGTGTGTGTGTGTGTGCGTGTGTGTGTGTGTGTGTGTGCGTGTGTGTGTGTGTGTGTGTGCGTGTGTGTGTGTGTGTGTGTGCGTGTGTGTGTGTGTGTGTGTGCGTGTGTGTGTGTGTGTGTGTGCGTGTGTGTGTGTGTGTGTGTGCGTGTGTGTGTGTGTGTGTGTGCGTGTGTGTGTGTGTGTGTGTGCGTGTGTGTGTGTGTGTGTGTGCGTGTGTGTGTGTGTGTGTGTGCGTGTGTGTGTGTGTGTGTGTGCGTGTGTGTGTGTGTGTGTGTGCGTGTGTGTGTGTGTGTGTGTGCGTGTGTGTGTGTGTGTGTGTGCGTGTGTGTGTGTGTGTGTGTGCGTGTGTGTGTGTGTGTGTGTGCGTGTGTGTGTGTGTGTGTGTGCGTGTGTGTGTGTGTGTGTGTGCGTGTGTGTGTGTGTGTGTGTGCGTGTGTGTGTGTGTGTGTGTGCGTGTGTGTGTGTGTGTGTGTGCGTGTGTGTGTGTGTGTGTGTGCGTGTGTGTGTGTGTGTGTGTGCGTGTGTGTGTGTGTGTGTGTGCGTGTGTGTGTGTGTGTGTGTGCGTGTGTGTGTGTGTGTGTGTGCGTGTGTGTGTGTGTGTGTGTGCGTGTGTGTGTGTGTGTGTGTGCGTGTGTGTGTGTGTGTGTGTGCGTGTGTGTGTGTGTGTGTGTGCGTGTGTGTGTGTGTGTGTGTGCGTGTGTGTGTGTGTGTGTGTGCGTGTGTGTGTGTGTGTGTGTGCGTGTGTGTGTGTGTGTGTGTGCGTGTGTGTGTGTGTGTGTGTGCGTGTGTGTGTGTGTGTGTGTGCGTGTGTGTGTGTGTGTGTGTGCGTGTGTGTGTGTGTGTGTGTGCGTGTGTGTGTGTGTGTGTGTGCGTGTGTGTGTGTGTGTGTGTGCGTGTGTGTGTGTGTGTGTGTGTGTGTGTGTGTGTGTGTAAAGGGAAATTAATTGTCAGTTGTCTTGGAATATGCCTTCATGAGGCCAAATATATTTACAGAAAAGTTGTACTGTCTCTTACACACAGCCAGTCAAAAGTTTTGACACACTTGCCTGAATTTATTTTTCTCAAAAGCCGGTAATAATATACAGGTTTATGTTTAAACATTTGAAATAGGTTCATAAACAAATACATTTTGCTGCAAATAATGTATATGCGCAAATAAAAACTGTGTAAGTTGTCATTTGCCTCACATGTTTTGATCACTGTATCATTACCATACTAACATTTGTGTTATTTCATAGTCTTTATTATTATTATTATTATAAAACTTTTGACTGTCAGAGTTTTTATTGTTTATTTAGCACGTTTAGTTTTGCTTGTTCAAACAAGGGCAGTATTGGTGCATTCTTCTTGAAAGTTCGTATTTAGAAGTTGGGAAGTTGTAATTGCAACATCAGGAGCTGTCACTTTGGTCAGAGCAAGATGGAGATGCTTTTCTACCAAAAATAATTGTCTTATGCAATTTTTGAAAAAAATACTTATGCATGTTTTTTATATCAATACTTATTATCAATATTTTATTCAGTTTTTTTTTATTTTATTTTTTAATTCAATATATGAAGTAAACTGGATTGTTATATATTCTATCGTAATTGTACAGTACTGTCATATTTTGTACATCCAACTTGCAGCTAGTTCTATTGTAACTGAAAAATATCTATAATTTTAATAATTGCATCCAATTTACCGTCAGTACAGACGCTGCATCTATTTGTAATTCTGACTTTGTGATGACATTAATGTAGGGTGAGCATAAGTCCTTTTTCCTGGATATGTCCTTGCTGGGATTTCTAAATATCCTATAATGTCCAGGTTTTGGCTTGGTTTTCCTATTGTTTTCACATTTGGTGAAGGTAATGACGACATGCGAGAAAGCTGAATCCAGAGAGAACGATCAAAGCAATGCAAATTCACATGCATATAATGAGGACTGTAGAGAGACCGTCTGTAGGAAAACAAAGCCACAACCCTAAAAATTTTGAAATCCTGTCTGGGAAAAAGACAGCGCATGGTCATTCCAGGTCATGTGCGTAAATACAGTCTTTCTGACTTCTTGACTTGAATGCACCAAATGTCCTGAGCTCTTCAGTGACTGATTGCATTGTGTATCAGTTTGTTTGTAAAGATGGTGCATGTGATCATAACAGCAGTGTTGGGGAAGCACATTACACGTAACTTTTTCAAGTAAGTAGTAAAGTAGTGCATTGCTTTTAAATTTACAAGAAAATATCTAAGTTACTTCAAATAAGTAACACGAATTAGGCTACTTTGTTGTCCCATTTATTGCCTGACAGCTCTCCTGTCCCCATGTTGAGAGAAATCAGGAGTAAGTGCAGAGGTGTTGTGCGTGCTGCTGTGTGAACATGATGTTACTGTAGTTCTAGAATAATTTACTCATCTCACCTGCACAAACACAGATTCAGTATTCCTCAAAATAAATAAAAACTGTGAAAAGCACACTCAGAATATGATGCAAACCTGCAATAATTAAATGTTAAATAACACAAATATCCTTTATGTATCCAATTTTGTTAACCAATGTCTTTGCTGCTGACCTTCGATGATCCAATTCAACCATATTAGTTGATCTTATATAAACATTTGTTTCATTTTTTTATTAGTGAAGAGTATTGAGCTTTCTTCTCCTGCGTTCTATTCTTCATGCAAACCAGAATGGCAGCACAGCTGTATGAACAGCTCTACTACAGACGTGAATTTACATTTCCTTCAGCCTGAGGCAGAAGCTTATTTGTTTCACTTTTGATGTGAAAAGGCTTTTACGTTTGCCAAAAAGAGAACTTTTTATATTAAAAACAAACAAGCAAGCCCAGCCCAGTTAAGAAAAAGTAACGCAAAATAACATAATGCATTACTTTACATAAAATGTAACAAAGTAACATGATTAATTACTTTTTAAGGGAGTAGCACAATACTGTAATGCATTACTTTTAAAAATAACTTTCCCCAACACTGCATAACATCTTTCTGTCAGCATGCTGATAATCATCTTTCATCTCTGCTCTTTTCAGTTGGCATGTTGGATTGTGTGTGCATGCTGTCTGCTGTATAACGTCGTCATATTCATCCCACCTGCATGCTACTTCTGTGTGTCCACCATTAATGCCATCATGGGCGAAAACTGTGATAACCCCCCGATTCTCTCCTCCAAGAAGCGCTGCAGCTGCAAGCGTGATTCCAGCTCCGATCCGTGGCGGGATGTGGAGCGTCTCCGCGCGGCGTTAGAGGTGGAGCGCAGCCGCAACCATCAGGCCCACCGGCGCTTCTCTCTGGAGTTGCGGAGGCAACGGGAGGAGGCGCGCGAGGAGCGGGAGCGAGCGCTGAGGGAGCTGACCTACCGACACGAGCAGCAGAAGACGCTGGAGCTGCTGAGGCAGCGGGAAGCTCTGGGCCGGGAGCGTGCGGCAGAGGTTCGGCATCTGTTACGCTGGCGGAGTCAGGAGTTGAAACGTACAGAGAACTTGACGCTCAGGCAGACCCAAGAAGTGCATTGTCAGCTAGCGGATGAGATCGCTGGTAGATCGGCATTTCAAGGTCTCAAACTTGGATGTAAGGGCAACGGGGCGACGTATCGCAAACTCGAGGAACTCTTAAAGACTCTGCTTGCTCAGTCAGATGGACGGCAGGTCGCTGTCCTTCAACGTCTCCAGCAGGAAGTGGAATTAGAGAAGAGCTACTTCCTGTGCCACCTACTGGAAGCCCATAGCGGGACGTCCCGCGTCTTGAAACGATCCAGACCGAGGTCGAAGAGTTGCGTGCATCTCCTCCCGCAAGGCCAAAACCACCCAGAATCCTGTAAGGAAGGAAAACTCGCTCTATTCCGGTCTCGTTCGCTATCTCAGACGTCCCGAAGTGATTCTCCTCAACCTATGAAGAAGAAAAAGAAGCAGGATTGCGAAACATCTCCTCTCAGCTCATCTCCAACTGAGGATGGAGATCTTCTAGAGGATTTACCTGAGCCGTGTTCATCTGATGAGGGATTGGAGAAGTGCTCACCATCCAGATGTTCAGAGGACAATATGGATGATCTGGTAAGAACTTTATGGATTTATTATGTTTTCTTCTTCAGGGTTGCCCTGAATCTATTCAAGTAATCAATTATTGCGAAATATTTCGTCGATTTCATAATCCTACGATTACATCGTCTGCGATTATGAATGCGATTTTGCGTAGCTTGTCAGAGAACTACGACTCTGTGTAGTAAATGCTGCTCCACCTGAAAGCAGGTGATGGAGATTTACTACTAATCACAGAACCGGCTTTACTGACAAAATGTGCATGACAATCGCGATTAATCGCGTTCGATTAATCGTGCAGCCCTAATGCATAGTGTTCAGAAATGGGCCATAATTTGTTGCACAATGCAAAGATGGTTTGCATTTTCTGCATTGGTCTCAGTTTTCTTTTTCACCTGCTGTCATAACGCAGATCAATTCATTTAGGTCAGGGATTGAAAAGACAGTATTTGAGTGTGTTTGCATACTTGTGTAGATTTTTCTGGGTTCACTTGCTTAGTTCCAGGATAAACATGGGGTTTGTTCAAATAACCAAGCTTGAAATTTATCCAGCTAAGTTGGATAATCCAATTATTGCAATTCCTAAAAACTAAATATGCTCATTATTGTTTTGGTTTGGTTTTATACACACACACACACACACACACACACACACTTTATTCTTTAATTTGGATCCAAAAGACAAGCAAAGAAAACGGAATCCAAATACCCTGGGAAGTCATTTTGCAAGATGACAGGTATACATGGCCCAGTGGCCCACATACATTCACAAGTCCTTATATTTATAACATTTAACACTCAATGATAGACAAAACATCTTTGTTTCCATATTTGCATATATATATATATATATATA